AATAATAATTTATAATGGCAATTTTACAGAAACATGTACGTATTAAAAAATTTTTATAATAAACTGTACGAGTATACGATTTCTCTGGCATGTATTCTTTTAAGACATGACTGCAGATGCTATGTTTATCGACGAAAGAAAACGAAAACTCATCACGTTGCTGCAGAGAGAAACTTTGGCGGTTCTGATGCACGAATCGCACGACCTTCTTCAGCCGTACCGGTGGACCATCCTGAAATCTTTGTATTCCTCGTCATAGCACGATGGACAGTGCGACTGGAATCCTTAAGGAGCGGCGATACTTTCAGGGTGTTCACCTTGCTACTGATCGTTCCAATGATAAACGCACGAGATTTGTGCAATGATTATGGCTCATCGATGCTCCATGAACCGCAGGAAGAAGTTTCTTACGAAAGGAACGTGTGTCCGATATATTTTTTTAGAAACCTTGAAATAAAAAAAATAAAGAAACGTTCTTTCTATAACTTATATAACTTATATAAGTTTGCAGAAATAAAAATATCCGTATTTAATTTAAAAAAATATGAAGGGAAACAGAAACTATAGATATGTATGCATAAAATAATCTATTGTTTTTTCTTATGAATTTGACGTTATTGAAAATATCTATATTTAACAATAAAATTTATAACATATTTTCTTCACTTGACTTGCTTTTATTTTGGATAGATTAATATTTACAAATATAAAATCACATATTTTCCATGTAGAAATTATTATTGCCGAGAAACTATTATGTTTTCTTTAGGAAAGATTATTACATGGAAAAGTTTTGCTGAAGCATCTAATTTAGCTAGATAAAATTTAAAAATAATTTTGTTTGGACCACCAAAATAATTATATAGGACGCTCGAACTGATTACTATAAAATGTCAATACTTCTTGCAGTATTACTTGTCATGCTTGAATTTCCTATATAATTATTTTGGTAGTTTAATAGATTATAATATTTACAAAATTATTTTCTAATAAGATCTAAATTTTTAGATACTTCAAAATTTTTCTTTCTCGTATACATAAGAGTATCTTTTCATGCACATTATCGATAAAAAAAAAGCAGCGATTTCGTAATGGGATATATTTTCTCATTGATACTATTAAGTATTCATATCCCGAAGAGATGCCGTTCGCAACGCGGCCTTAACGAAGATAAGGCCCGGTTGGGACTGCCTTCGAATTTTGACGACCAAATTCATGAGAAAGACGTCCCGTCTTCGATTGGAACACAGCCAATCGCGGAATGGGACTAATGTGTCATGCTTGGGGCTAAAATAGGTATAGAAAGTAAATCCATGAAAAGTTTGACAGAAATTTGAATCGCCACATAAGAATTTCAGCACGTTTGTTCGCATGACATGTAATTTATATCTGGCCTTCGAAGTGCCATCTGTTTCTTTAGGATCCTCATAGACGATTCAACATACAGATTGAAGATTTTTTTAAAATAATTCTTTCTCAATAGAAGGACCGCTCTGACTGCTAATGTCTTGATAAACTATCAATTGTCATTGTTAATGTTTTAAACATTATTCATCGTGTTTCATAATTAAATATAATTATTTTTTAATATACTTAATGCACAATTATTTTAAAAAAATTCGAAAACAATTGCACAGAATTATTTATAATCACTGTATTGGCAAATCCTATTCAAAAATTTAATACTGTACTCAGTTAAATTAACAGCAGATTGAAAATGAACGAAAAAACCAATAAATTCAAAAAATTCTTTTAAATATCATGTACATGATTTTCTATGCAAAAAAAATCGTTGACCATGCCACTTCTTTTCGCTGTTAAGAATAATATAAATAAAAATTGCCAAATGAGCACATCATCAAGCCGAAAGCATTTGCGGCATTTGCATCGGGCCTTCGAAGATGATGTGGACGTCTGACGATGGTCATTGGCAGACCAAACGTGATGGATTTACTGATTTCAATATACCAAGAATCGACCATTCATACAATATTCAAGATCTTTACGTACAGTTCACTATATAACACCCTTCTGCGAATCACATCATCAGTCTTCTCAAGATTCCCGAACACAGAACTACAATAAAACATCGTATTTGTCGAGGAACCAACGGTAGTGATAAGGGACCACCAGCACTTGAAGAGATAACACAAGAAAATATCGCGATAATAAAATCATCTCACTAAAATCATGACACGGGAAAAACTCTTTGCCGTGTTGCTTCTCGGTCTTCTCGCGATAGCTCTTAGTTTGCCTCAGCAGCCGAAATCCAAGAGGCCTACTCCAGTATTTAAGGTTTTTAGAAATATCGATATTTTTGTATTCCTCTTCACCAACAAATTCTTCACGGATTACCGCATACGTGATTTACGATAATCAAACTTTGCAATCAACTTTTCTAGCAACCTAAAACTGGTGGCTTGCTGCTTCCCGACAACGCAACGCTCATTCGCGAGAACATCGTCGACACGTTTTCGTGCCAGGACAGAATTTACGGTTATTATGCCGACATGGAGAACGAGTGCCAAGTGTTTCACGTGTGTATGCCGCAAACGAGGGGATCAATTAGATGGAGCTTCATTTGCCCCGGCGAGACAGTTTTCAATCAAGTAAACTAATATAGTATTGTCGCAAATATTTCGACTTACAAAGGATGTCTTCCAACAAACGACTCAGTACAACACCGTGACCATTTCATCTTTATTTAACATTGGCGAACAACAAGAATGTAATGATGTCTTTTGTTGGAAGATACCCAAAATCTTCCTCAGTGCTCGCAAATAATTATCACCCCTAAATAAATTATCGAATTATAATAGGATGATAATTATTTGCGACAATGTATATAGAAATAAAGTAATTGTCATTTTTAAATCAATACCATCAATGCTTGATTATAAGCCACGATATCATTTTATTGTGAAACAAAATTTGATTCTGCGTTTCGACATATTTTCAAAGCAAAGAAAAAAATTAAGAAATATTTTCATACTGATATCAAATACAGTAACAATTTATTTGTTGTTTTAAATAGAGACAGTACAATATTCTGATTCATTTATAGGCAACATTCGTATGTACACAAACGGAAAGCTCGATACCATGCGAGGAATCGGAAAAATATTATGCTTTAAACGAGGACATCGGAAAGGAAGTGGAAGAAGAAGAAGAGGCGGATCAGGATCGAGGGAAGAAAAATGCGACGAAGATTTTGGAACCTGAAGTAGAAACGGTGTCGAGAAAGTCATTCTCGAAAAATTCGAGATTGCTAAGTGAAGAGAAGTCGTTTCGACTTTAAAAGAGATGTATTTTTTCTTAATTGAAGGAAATCGCTCTACGAAATGTAGTAATTATTATGATTAGTTAATCTTGATTAAAAGAAATTTTATGGTAACTTGTTTTCGATCAAGATTGACTAAACGCTTATTTAGAATTTGAAATAATCGTTTATAGATCGCTCATAAACTTGCCTTCTAAAAGCACTCATAATGACAATAGTACATAAAATTAAAATTTAAATTATTGTCACATGTACAATGTACAAAATGTGTTATTTCAATTATACGATGTGTAAAATAAATTTCTGTACAGTACAGTGAAATATATGTTAAAAGATAAGTTGTAATTATGTGTAAAAATATATTGAACGTTCACATATGTAATTATTTATCAAGTAAAATAAAAAAACGCTAGGAGGAAGCTGACAATTTCTTTTAACTTGTTGTATTCATATACATATTCCAAAAGAAAGATAATGCACGTTATTATTAAAGAAAGATTTTAAATATTGAGGTAAAAATCATGTAAATTATTTTTTATGACTAATAATATAAGTAGGCGAAATATATATCTAATACTGATAGATAAAGCGCAAAAAAGACCTATGAAAAGGAAAAACGTTACACGATTGTCCCAAGCCTAAAATATGTAAAAAATCGTGACGCTATAATTCGTAAACGTATTAAAAACAAATAAAAGAAAGAACTTAACTTAAATAAGCAATATTTACAAAACAAGAAAAAGTGTTGTTAGCAACACTATCTATTTACAATGATTGATATGTATCGATATTGGTCCTTTATAAACTTAATACAAAACAACTAAAAAAATATAAAATGTGCATTAAATGCAATACGTTCTCTGTTGCTATTATATATATAAGTTTCGCTAATGTTATAATATTACGTAACTTTAGAGTAATGAAACTTAAACTAGAGATATACATGCACACGTAAGACAGCTAGAAATAGATCCAAAACCATCATCTGATTCGTTAATCATCGTAAAATTCTCATGAAATCGTACAAGTGTCGCAACGCAGGAAATATCATCCACATCTCTCGCGTTCCGTCGTTTTCTATTTGATATCTTTGGATAGCTAGCTATCATGCCTCGAATAACCGAGACCTATTTAACTTTTCGCAATGCCGATAAAATAATAAAACAATTATACAGACACACATATTCATATAACAACGTTCTGATAATAAATATTTCTTTCATCTTCGAATTGGCGCATCAATTCGTAACAGATATATAGATTTAGTACATAATTTTAAAAAAAAACTGTGTACTAAAATATATTTCTTTTGATATGGAAAATCTTTTTTCGGAAATATGATATAGAACGTGCTGCATCCACGATATTAATAAAAAATAATTATTTACTTGATATAATGATTATGTACCTACAACTATTTACATAAATTTATCTGTCAATTTTTTTATTTATATAGTATTTTATTTATATATATGTATATATATATTTATTAAATGCATCTTAATTTATTTTTTATATAAATGAGATATATTAAATTTTCTTTTTCTTATGGATTAATAATGGATTAATTGTGCCATTGTAGAAAATAATGTATTTCTCTAATTTCGATTTTAAACAACACACTGTGTATGAAAATTATAGAATATCTGAAAAATTAAAATGTAAATGACTCTGTACAAAGTGACAAAAATATAATGATACCTTTTTGAAAATCTAAAACTACTTTCTACCCTGCATTGTCCTTTTTAAAAAAATATGATTTGAGGTATATAAAAAAAAATATATTTTACATCGCGTTATATAGGATACAAAATCAAATTTCGAAATAGTTTTCGAAATAACTGTATAAACTCATTGCTTTCAACTCTTTTTTTATATTTTTTGTGTAGATTTTTTTTAAATGCCCCTTTTTTAAACTCCTCTAATTAAAAATTTATACCTACTTGTATCTTAATCTAATAAATAATGTTAGATTTCGAAAGTTACGCTTCGGAATCCATCGTAAGATCCGCCTCAATTTCCTCGGGGCTCCTTAGGTCAATCGCAAATCTCTTCCTGGCGGTGTTTACGCTGATTCCAGTCAGCTTTTCCTGAGCCTTTACGGTCTTGGAGTAAACCTCGAAGGCTGCAGCGAGAGCGTATGTCAATTGCCTGGCATAATATTTCGATTCGCAGACAAAACCATGACATTCGAATGGTGAGATTCTCCTGAAGTTCTCCGTCTCGCGAACAACGATCATGGAAAAGACTCTAGTGTAAACTAGATCCTGTACTCCGTAGGATATTGTCTCAATAGGATACATTCTGGATAAATTGACATCTTGCTTCCTTTTGTCTAGCGGCAGCAAGGCAACTCCCTCCTGAGAGACTACTAGCTTGATAAGAGGCAGCATTGTGTTAGTCGGCAAAGCCTTCGCAGCAGAAACCATATTATCGACGGGCCTTCTTGTGTGCTTGATGCCCCAGAGGCCTCTTGCATCATGGGATCCCAAATATTTCACCTGAAAAGAATCAATCTAAAAGATTCAAATGCGCAACGGACTTCCTAAGGTTAAAATTCTTGGAACAAAGCTTTGAAATTTTACGCAATCTCCTTTTAATTTTTGTAAAATAATCTTTTAAACAATTACAATATCAATCGTGAAAAAATTATGACAAATAGATTTTTTATTTTTAATGAAAAATATTATTTTATTTTATTTTAATATTAAAAACATTAATTAATTTTTTAATTTAACACTCCCAAATTCTTACATAAAATTTTGTTCTTTTCTTTTAAATATTATTTTTATATTATGTAAAATAAAAAAAATATATGTATATAAATTATACGAATGCTTATATTCGTTATTGCAGTGTATATTCTGATGATTCATATTTAATTGGAACAAATAAAGTATGAATATTTGAAGAAAAGTTCAAACTTTTTGATCTTTACTTAAAAATATGAAAATTGTACCTGAAATACTTGCGGCAGATCGGTAGAGCCCTCAAAAACATTATTATCTATTGACAGACGTGATAACTTCGACACGAGATCTTTCTTTTTATCGTCAGAAGTCACTTTCTCCTTCTTCATCTCTTTTACAGGCTGGTCTCTCTGTTTCAAATTTATATTTTTTAACGCGCGGGTCTACTAAAGTAATTATTTTAGGATCAAAAATTTAAAACAATCTAAGTGATCCTTTGATCAACTGATCTACTCAACTAATGATTAAAAACGTTTAACGCATAGCAAAAGAATGCGAATGCGTCATGAATTTAAATGAAGATAAAGGAATGGTAGAATAACGGGATAAGTTACAATGCTTCGTACTCTACAAATATTTTATAATAAATGCCAATAGAAACGACAAATCAATCTTATCACGACAAACAATCCTGAGCGCGTCTTTCTACCTGCGTTCTCCACGAGAGAGTCTTAAAACGCTACTCACGGGAACGTTATCGAGCCGGCAGTGCCTTGTCGTTGATCTAGGCTTGACTTTAAGATGGTACTCCACCACGTTCGGTATGTTTGGCGTGTTGGGCACGACTGAGCCAGCGGCGGTTGACGCGCGTGGAGGGCCCTCGCTTCCGGCCCCAATCAGAGGCGCTGGTGTCGTTGATCCACCTCCACCAACGACTTCCGATGTCTAATTTTTATCAAGTTGTAAACATCAGTCTACTTTCATATTTCTACAATACGCTCCTTAAAGTCTGAATTTCTACAATACGCTTTATATTAATATTTTAATATAAACAATATCTGTCCGAAACTTTTGTTTGTTACTATTCATACATTGTTTATTTTAATTTTTTAATATTTAAATAACATAATTAATAAAAATTTATTTATTTCTTGATAGAAATATTTACAAAATTGTTATATACGTTGAAAAATTTGTAATTATAAGCAGATTATATAAAATGTGAAAGTACATCTCTTTGCACTTCTTGAGGTTTCGTGTAGATTTATGTGTTAAACGTTAATTATTATTGTTTGAGATACTACAAAAATTCTTTCTATTCTACACCTAAGGAACCAACCTTAGGTGGAGAACAGATTAGATGTCCAACGTTATAAGTTGTATTTTTGTGTGATTGTTCATTATTAACAATGAAAACCTTTAAGACATTGTCTGTCCTCTTCGCGAAACCAAAGTCCTCGTCCTCCATAGCTAGACGGTGAACGCAAAATTTGCCACTCTTTCTTGATTTCTTCTTACCTTTTTCTCTCGTTTCTTACAACGAGAAGAAATAACAGGCTATCTGCAAATAATTTGCCTATCAAGATGCATTAGTCTTTCTTGTGCTGATGTCAAAGCTCTAATTAATTTTTAAACAATGGAATACAGAAAATGTCTACAATTCTTGATGATCTATAATATTTTCGCCGGATCGCATTCTCTGAAACGTGACTTTCGTATATAAATAAACCGCGCATGTTCGATGAATGGCTCGCGAATTTAGAGCAGACAAGAAGGATACACCTCATGTCATATTGTAATTATTATTATTTGAAAGTTCGTCCGGGCGCGAAATTAAAAATGAACTTAACGTCCAAATTTAAACCGGAAAACAGCTGTCGTGCAGCACGTGTTGCACCTTGCATCGTACTGGTTCCAGGAAGCCTCCTTTTCTTCCTTTCTTCCACTTCACTGCATCGAACCGTATATTTGTGCTGTTTATAATAAAATCGCTCGAACAGAACCTTTATTTACCGTATTACGAAGTATAAGAGAATTAATAAAAATTGTGCACTTATTATTTCGATCTTATTCTTCTTATACAATATTGCCACTTTCAACAATAATAATTACCTCCTTGTTTATTTTCTTTCTTTTTAATTACTTTGCCATAAATTTTTAATATTTTGTATATTAATTTCCAATGTACCGTAATTCCAATCTTTGTTACATTAAAAATAAATAAACGTACAAAAAAATTTTATACAACGGCCAGACGTTCACTGTTTTAACTTTCACTGTTCTCTGCAATACGCGTAGCGACAATGACGGGTTTTTGTCCGCGTCCCCGTGATTACATCCCGACAGCGGATGCGCGGGATGCAATTGTATCGGCGATTTTAAACGTACCGGGGGTTCTTTCAATCCACAGGAAATGAGTCAAGTGACCGATAGTCAGGTGAGGAAGAATTCATTAATGTATTCCGTCGGTTACAGGTGTGGCGTGTTTCTGTTGTTCACGCTTACACCCGCGAGCATTATTTTGAAAATGCGTAATAAAAATTTCGATCTCAACGTGGGAAAATGATTGAAAATGCAGAATGTTGTAATTACATAAATAATTACACAAATCACTATATTAAAAAATGTTTTAAATAAATAATCTTATTCTTTTTTATAATACATATATAATAATGCCTTCTTATATTGCTTTCTTATTTTATTAAAATATTTTAATTATCCATTATTATGTCAAATGTATCAAAAATATATATTAAATAAATATTAAATTAAAAATAGTTCTATTAAGGAAATTGCTATTCATACATTGCATTTTACGATCTTTATTCGTGTACTGCAGAATATATGTTTAACAAGTTTTAGAAAAAAAAATCTAAACACAACAAATAGCATGCAAAAGAGAAAGAGGAAATTTTATAGGACGCCCTTTATGTAGCTGTACACCTGTCGTCGTGTTACACCCGCGTACAATAGCAGAACTGTTAACGCGAGCAACTATACTTAACGGGTGTCTTGTAAAAACATCTTCTAAAACAAGCTTTTCTACTTTATGCACAAGTATGTCTTATCGACACGACAGAATCGCCATCGCGTAAAACAGACGTTTGTGTGTTAAATTATTATCGTGCATACCATCGAGAAATTAGAAGACACCTCGATAAAATTAATTAGTACCCATGTGTGTGAGAAGCAAGAAGAGAAGGTTCGGGATGCTCGATAACGGTAGCGTTAGCAGATGAAATGGAATCGCTGCTCATTATTACGGTTTTCTAGATTTCCGTTAGTCTTCTCGACTATACCTTGCAGAATCTCGGTCTTTTATATAATAAAAGATAATAAAGAGAAGTATTAAAAAAAAATATTCTGATGGCGCGAACAATCACGCTGCTCGCAGCACATTGGACGTCAATAACCGTACATTCTCGTCGATATTCGCGCTCGTTGAAAGAAAAAAAGTTGCAAACGCCGCGGAAATTTATACGACGTTTTATTTGGCCGATGATTATATCTGACAACGCAAAATCAACCAATTCCCCTTTTCATGCACGTGGTAGGGTGGGAACCGGAAACGAGCGCCGCTGGATGTCTGACCGGAAGTTATTACGGTTGTGTCACGAAGAAGTTCTAACGATGCGTGCCACGCATACGTACTCACGGAATTCGAACGGCGAAGCGGATTGAATTCGTTGAGGAAAAACCTGACGGTATAATGTCGTGCCATGATTAAATCGTTTTAGTACGAATTCCCAAAAATACAAGCATATGTCTTTTTAATCCCAATATATCAAGATTTCTGATAAAATAAGCCGGTAAAATCAAATCGTAGAAGAAATTATGCATGCAAAAAAAAAATCGTTCCATATGGCGTCCGATGAAAACTATCTAGTGTTTCTTATTTGCTTCATTTCGACTCATATAATATGCAACGAATAATTCAGATGGTAATGAATAACTTAAATGCTAAATTTATCGGTCTTTCATTTATCTCCTTTACGCTTCTTCATTTTTGTAATTAAAATTATTTTTCTACGGCCTGTAAAACATTGCGATAAAATATAGTGTTTCAAAAATGTAAACTTACAATTAGATAGAGAAGTTATCATAGAGATAAGTTATGATAAAAAGGTAGATATATTTTACTTATAATAACAATTTTAACGTAATTGTACAAAATTAAAAAGAACTCTTCTTCTGAATTCTTTATTATTTTGCAATCACATGTAAGTGATTCACTAATCATTAATTCAAAGATTATTTTTTTTTTTTTCAAATAATAGCAATAGAAAATGCGTCATAATTATTGAATCTATTTTATCATACCTTGCACAGTCATCATCCGCGATAAAGACAACATGTCATGTATCATAGATTAAGGATCAAATCGTTGTTAGATATTTGACGAGAAAACGCGCAATTATTCGACTTATGCCCATTTCCACTAAAGTAGATTAACTTTAATCTCAGTTCAACTTATTCTTCGTCTTTTTCTAATCTTTAGAAATAAAAAAAGACGAAGAGTAAGTTGAACCGAGACTAAAATTAATCTACATTGGTGGAAACAGACATAAGATTTATCGTTCGATGACGCAAACGCGCACAATTGCATGGATGCGTACAATTTACAATTGCATAAGCATGGTAAGACGGGAGCGAAACTATCGGACGAAGAACTTACGATAGCCACGTCGAGCGCAGTACCATCGATCGTTAATTTAAACAATAGCCCCATGTTAATTACAATGATCGTCGCGAGCCGCCGGACTCGATGGAAATCGAGTTGCGGCAAGTCGCAACGCGCGACGAAACACAAACGCGATGCTCTTTATCAGAGAAATCACAATCCATTCGGACAAAAAGATTGATCAATAGCGATCGTGCGGAATCCTGCAACTCGCAACGCGATTCGAAAACGATCGGAAGCATTAAATATTCAAAAACGCGGTAGAGTACCTTCAACTATTTACCTTCACTTTTCTGCTCTCGGCGATGGTTGACATGATTGACGAGGTCACGTATACGCGTAAGTACACGCACAGCACGTTTTAAATTGACGTAGGTTCGATGTACGTTTCTCCCAGGTGTAGTCAGCCGATCTCGATCTTACCGTTCGACGCACCTGCGACGAGCGGCGACGGCGGTGGCTGAAAAAGCCCACGCTTCCGGAAACATCGTCTGGCAGGATGACGGATGCGGCGACGATGTATCCGCATGCAACGGGGACTCCGCCGCGACTCTGTACGACGAATCCGAGACCGGAATATCTAGAGAGAACGATTGACAGGCACCTGCGGTATGCACTGTCGTGTACGTGCGACTGAAAATGTGGGACGGCGCGCCGCGCCGTTCGTTCGGAATTGCACCGACTGATAAAACGGAACGAGCCACGATAGGCGTACACGCATTACGTACGTGAATGTCTCTGAATAAGGCTGGTACACCTGCAATAAACCTGAGGTGACACGGGCGATAAGCTCTGACGCCACTGATTAATCACAATCGCGGCGAGGAAGTGGAACTTTGTTAGGTTCAGTTTCTAGAAATCGCCGGATATGATTTCGAATTATCACAGAATGCGTATTATAGAGAACATGTAGTTACATGTCTATAAAAATTAAAAGAGTTTGATAATAGCTTCTAAATGTTTAGTGAAATAATGCTAATTAATTTGGTCAATATGATCAAAGAAATTTAGGAAAATAAAATTACTTTTGATTATTTTAATCAAATATTTAATTAGCATTATTTTACTGAACATTTGGTAGCTACTATCGAAACCTCTTTTTCAGTGCACAGAGAACATTTTATGACCATTTGTAAATTATAAGAATTTTTGGAATAGTAATTAAATAATTTATGCTTTCAATATATAAAATGTAGTAATGGGTGACTCATTAACATTGTTGCGGAGCAACTTCCCGACATTTAATTTCAATTATAATCCTTATTACTTACATAAGTAAAACACAATAAAATTCATGCGACAGAAATGATGCGCAACATGGTCGGAACTTTTAATAGCGAGACACAAAATTTAGTTGTGTCTAAATTATTGTAATCCTCTCCGACAATTCTTACGCACCTCAGTTTGCTGCCATTCTATCCTTCATTTCACGCAGCATCAATTGTAATCATATTGCATAACATGACGTAATAAAATATACGTAAGATTCGTAATTAAATCAGCATTTACACCAACAATTAATATGAAACGGTTCAGACATAGATGGAAACAATGCCTCTCCCGCGAAGTCATTTCTCTCTCGGGAGCTAAAAATAATTAATAATAGCATGCGTGTCGTAATTCACAAGTACATATTTCTTGTATCATTGGACTTATCGTCGGCGATCAACAAATCTTTCAGGAATCTCTCGGATTCTCTTCCAGTAACTATCACTGATTCGCGATGAATTATATTATTTGACGCTCAGCGAGTGGTAAAAACGTGAGAATAACTTTCATGCTTCTTTGTTGGCATCCGACGACAGGAAAGAAGACGCTCGGAAGTCAAGGCGTTATGAAATTACACGGGATTATACACCACAGGCAGCATCGTGCGAAGATACTGGACCGCGAATAGCGCGAGAAATGTTCCTCCAAAACACTTTTTACATTTCTCACAGATAATACTCCATTATACTAAAAAGAAATGGAACATTTTTTAATCATCAATATAGATTTGATTGAAAAGTTCCAAGAGATTGCTAAACAATAAATTCTTTTTATTAATTGTAAGAAGATTACGTGTATACTTGAACGCTTTTTGCATTATAGACTTTATCTTTTATTGCTGGATTTTTTTTTGTTTTAGGCCAACATTTCCTCAACGTAAATATTTAAATTAGGATTATAACATAAACGACGTGCTAATGAAGTTATTCAATGAATGGGAGAGACATTTTCCTTCGTCGATATTTTTTCAGCGCAGATTCGTTCGCGCGCGATAAAAGTAATAAACAGATCTTCCCACGGTTGTCACGTTTATTTTGTAATCGCTCCGATATCTAATTAACTAGTAGACAGATAATTTAATTAAGAACAACAGTCACTCCGCATCCGCACGCAACGCGAGCTGCAATATGATCCGTGCGAAATCGGTCGTAAGAAGAGAAGAGATGCGCTCTCTTAATGTTTGTTTCCTGTTGTGCTTAAAATATATGCTATTATTATATCTGTATATGTATAACGTAATGTTTTAATAATATATAATCGACAAAACGTTACGTAACATAATCAAAAAGTTGCTTTATAGGGTAAAAAATGTATTGAAGAGCCCTCTTTACAAAACTCGTAATTAAATTTATAATTATACAATAATAAAAAAATTAAAAAGTATTAATTTTTTTAAATCTAAAATTATATGATTATGAGAATTTAAAATATAATATTTAAAGTTTTTTTTTGCTTCAAAGGGAAAAACGATGGTGCATAATTCGTGACGTGAGTGATCAGCGACCCATAACCGCCGGATGTCTAATTTTCCTCTGAGTTTACATGTCAATCTGGAAAAGCTTGCAACTGTCAATTATCCATCGCTAATTGGCACGAAACGCGTTTCGAAAATGAAGGGGTTCGGAGCGG